GACTCTCTGTCAAAACAAAACAACAGCAAGAAAGCTGGGCATGCTAGCATAGGCAGGAGAGCCAGCCTGGGCTACAAAGTGAGACCATGTCTCAAGGAAAGCACAGAGAATGTTCTTTTGTCAGGGTGGCCACAATGCTCTAGATTGTCCTCCCAAAGAGTGGCTTTTAGGAAAATCCCAGGTCTTGAATTGTGTTCTCGTGGGAGGGGAGGGAAGCTGTGTCGAGGTTCTTAGCAGGAAGTTGGCATGGAGGGAAGGAGTGAAAGGGAGATACGAGAAGGCTTGTCTGAACCCTCGGGGTCTGCAAAGCTTTGACTTGTCTCAGGAGTCAAAGGTGTGTGGTCTCGTGTTGTCTTGGGTATGTTTTCGGTTCTTTGGATGTCACGGGCAACAGTGTGAGAGCAGATGCAGAGGGCCCTGTTGGAGTGAAAACTCCATGGATCAGAATGAGGGAAGGGAGGGAGTCAGGGGAGCCAGGGGAAGAGAGGACACAAGCAGGAACAGCTTGCAGGCGAAGCAAGGCGGGGAAGGGGTTCTCTGAGGCCAGCGGAGGTGGGTCTGGGGTAGACTTCTGGGAGCAGTGTGCTCTGAGGACACCTGCTTGGCTGTGATTATTTTTACAGCCTCTTCCTTTATGACTGGGTTGTGATCCTTTCTCAGGAGGGCAGAGGTGAGTGGTTTTACACTTGGCAGGTGATATAAGGTGACAGAGCTTATCATAATTTCCCTTCCTCCCAACCATTCCTCACGTACAGTCTTGGTTATTTGGTTACCCATTCAGCCAACAAAGACACAACAAAATACACGAACATGCCAGGCCCAGGTGCCGTGTTCCCAGCACGCACAAGGTGGCTCCACTTCCAGGGGGTCTGATTCCCTGTTCTGGCCTCTGAGGGCACTGGGGAGGTACATGGTGCACATACACACATGTGGACAGAACATTGACACATACAATAAAAATTAATTATTAGAAGAGAGGAAACTTTCATCAAGTTAGGGGGAAGGCACCAGGAAAGGGCTCTTTTTTATTTTTTTGTTTTTGTTTTTGTTTTGTGAGACAGGGTTTCTCTGTGTAGTTGTGGTGCTTGTACTGGATCTTGCTCCGTAGACCAGGCTGGCCTCGAACTCACAGAGATCTGCTTGGCTCCACCTTCCCAGTGCTGGGATTAAAGGCATGCTCCACCATTGCCCAGCTGAAAGGGCTCTTTATAAATTCTTCACTGCTGAAGCAGGATCCACTCGGGATCCCAATGATGGCTCCTGGTCCATGAGGAGTTCAGAGAGCCTGGCTTATTGGAGGGTTTTCACACGGTGAGCAGGTGCTGGGAGGTGGGGACATGGAGACGATGCTGTCGTTTTTTTTATTTTGTTTTAAAATTTGCAATGACTTCGGATACCAGAATTGTTAGAATGTGGGGTTTGTGTGGGGAATACAAGAAAGAGCTGGAAAGATCATGTCAAAGGATGGCAGATAGACTTGAAAGCCAGGTCAGACTCAGGCCCTTCTTCCATGGCTCAGGATTGAGATGAGAAGAAAGACAAGGATGGTATAGTAAATATAGACAGCTCCCTTCCATCCCACACCCAGTGCCCCCTAGCGTGTGCAAAATGGACATTCGTGAGGTGACCTTGTGACCCTAGGCCAAGATTAATGGTGCTTGTAAATGTGTTCTACTTTGTCCCTTTTCTCTACTTGTTGATTTTTTTTTTTAAAATAATACATTCCTAGTTAAAGATTAATTGAGACCCATCTGTCTCACAGATAGAATGGAGTCTGGATTCAGTGACCCCATAAATGTCGGAGAAAATAGAATGGGTATGCTGTAATTGCTTTAAGAAATGCTTCATGCCAACAAATTCACAAAGGCCAAGAGGAGAGAGACTTCAGAGAGGCTGGAGGACTCTCTGCCTCATGGTTGGGTGGGTGGCTAAGCGTAAGGCCTGGTGCTGAAGAACGGAGCCCACAGACAAGGCAGAGAGCTCTAGCCGCAGTCTCGGGGAAGGTCTGCAAAGGCTCACAGCTCCGCTGCTGAGGAGAATTCACGTTTCTGAGGCCAGACAGCCCCCCTGCTTGATGCGGCTCTGATCCAGACGGCCAGCCCTACCTATGGCCGTTCCTACTTGGAGGGACCGGAAGTGAAGTAGACCCAACCTGTGTGCACCTGAAACCTGGCGAGACTTGGAGGGAGGCCCAGGTCTGATTTACCTGTTGAGGTGGCAAGTTGCGGTTTCGGTCACATTGCCCAAAAGATAAGGAATTTCAGGAATTCTGCCATGCCAGTTGGAAACGGAGTCTCACACAATGGGCCTTTCATGGAGCCCTGGCCTACAGTTGGTACCGAGGTGTTATTTTAACTTGTTTTGTGTTGATCTGGAGTGTGCAGTGCCAGTTGCTAGGGGAACTTTGGACCCGGGGAAAGAGAGGCTGGCTTCTAAACTGTGACAGGACAACTGCTAATTGCACAAGCCACTCTCCTGCCAGCGTAGGAAGGAAGCCGGCTTGTTGCTGGCCAGAGCCCTCCTCTTCCTCCCAGCGGCTGTCCTGTGTTCAGGAGTCCATGCTCTGGCCGTCACATGTGGTGTGGATCTGGGGACAAGGCTATTTCGAGGTCCGCTTTCATTGCTGCTGCGTCTTCCGCATTGTGACTTTTCTCATTGTTGTGATCAGATTCCAGATAAGGCCCTTCAGGGGCGGCAGGTTTATTTTGGTTCATATGGAGACAGATCAACTCCACCATGATGGGGAAGGCCCAGCGGCAGGAGTGTGAGGCAGTAGGTCACTTTCTGTCCCTGGTCAGAGAGCAGGAGTGTGAACCGGAAGTGGGGCCGAGCGATCAAGCCTCAAGACCCGCCCCTTCCAAAACAGAGCTGATGCACATGGTTCTGTGGGCAGTCATTTCTCATGCAGACCACACCTTCCTGTCCACTTGTGACAAGAATGACGTAGTAAGTGGAAGAGAGTCCGTGAAATCAGTTTTTACACAACGGCAAGCCTTTGTGATGCCTGGGCCTTTGCAGAAGGATTATTATTCCTTGCAAATGAAGTCAGTGATGGTGTGAGGGGGGGAATGGAATCTGGTGAAGGAGCTAACCATTGGTGCTTGTTTCCGTGGTTAAGAGTACCCACTTAAAGGATCAGGGGCTGCATTTCTTCTTTAATAGGGTTTATTTTTTCTTAAAATTCACAAGGACAAAATAGGCTTTTAGCTTACAGGGAAGTACTGTTCAAGCACTCATGCAGTCAGCAGGTGTTTTTGGTTGCCTTGCCTCCTTGGGACAACATGACATGACTGGAGGATGTCAGAGATCTTCCATACAGGCACACCTCTGTGTATAGCCCTGGGATCATGGGTGGCATTTTTAGGCTATAAACTGAGATTTAATTCTTCCCTGACTGACTGGCACGTTAAGAGCTGAACTGTGTGGAAACAGCTCTGCTCAATGGGAGATGACTGATGCTATTTTTACTGTTAGAATGGGTGCTGTATCGTTGCTGGAGCTAGCCCAGCATATATTGAGGCTTACAGAGGTCAGTGTTGCTGTGGGCACTTGGAGGAATGGTAGAATAGTTTCTGGAGTTAAGTTTTATATGTAGTTGCACAGAGAAATGCTAGATAAAATAAAAACTAACACCCCAGCACAAAAAAAGATGGGCAGGCATCAGCAAGTGTGGGCTGAACTGGGTGGTCTGCCTCTGATGGGTTTGCCTTCTGAATTTCCAATTTCATGAAGTCATGGTATCTCGCAAATTATCTCCATGGGTTCAGACGTCTGTGAGAGCTTTGCAGAAGATGTTTGATAATGAGCTATGTTAATATGTCATCTATTGGTGGCAATCTCTCGTGCATCCAGCAGGAAAGACACTCTGCTTTGATTAGGATGGAATTTCTTGGAGTGGAACGTTTAATTTTCCCGCTATGGTGTCTTTGATAACTGATCCTAACTGAGATAACCTGATAAAAGGCTCTTGCCCCTAAGAGTCCTTTACTTTCTGCGGAAGCTGCACCGTGCTGGAAGATTTTCTTAGAACTTTACCTGGTCATGGCTGTGCGCTGCTGTAAGCTAAATAAAGTGTCAGAAGGCAAATTCATTCTCCTTGACTCTGGCAGCTACCATGAGAGTGCATTTTATTTTGTTTACCTGAAAGAGCCGACAATATTATGTTCACATCTCACAGTACAACGAAAACTGCATTTTAAAATTTGACTTCTCCCCTCCAAAATCATTCTTTTTGCTAGGAAGTTGGGGCGGGGTTTCCCTGTCAGGTTCAGCACTGTGCCCTCCTGGTGGAAGAGAATAAAAAACATATAGAACTGACAAGGAGCCCCCTCTGCTTTCATCTGTCCGGCTGAGCCATGCCAGCCAAGTGGGCACCGTTGCAGAGTGAGTGGGAGTTCTCAGTCTTGAGTGCCCAGGCATCATGGACATGTGACTGCTCCCATGGGTGGCCTCATTCCAGGAACAGATCCCATGGTTATCATTCCAGGAGGAGGAAGGCCGCTCCCATGGGGTGCTGGGAGCGTACTGGGTGGGGACTGTTCAGGAGACTGGGGGAGGGGAAGAATCATGACCCATGCAGGAAGAGGAGCAGAGAGTGGAGTTGGAGGGAGGCAGATTTCCTTGTTGACATGCATCTGAGAGCCATGGGTAGCGTATGTACTGCAGTCAGAATGCAGGCCTGGACTGCCCAGTCGAGACTGTGTTTTAGACGCCACCGAGAACGGCTGAAGGTGGAGGTAGCTTCGTGGTAGAGCACTTCCTTGTTGCGCAGAGCTCCAGGTTCAAACCTTGGTATGGTGAACCAAAGATAGAGGGTAGTGGAAGGCAGGTGTGAATACAATCGCGGTGTGTTGTATACAAGTATCTGTGGCCAAAAATAGCTTTTAAATGGAAAGAGTTTTGCTCCTCAGACTATAAAGCATAACAGAACAGATGACTTGGAAGACTGGGGCTGGGAGTGGAAACAGGTGCTGAGGTCCTTCTCATCCTTATCCCTGCAGTTTTGCTGCTGGAGAAGATTGAGCATGATGATATTTGCAACAAGACACTGAAGATCACGGACTTTGGGCTGGCGAGGGAGTGGCACAGGACCACCAGGATGAGTGCCGCAGGGACCTACGCCTGGATGGCTCCTGAGGTCATCAGGTCCTCCCTGTTCTCCAAGGGCAGTGACATCTGGAGGTGAGCATAGGCCTTTGCCTTGTCTGTCTGCAACCACGAGTTGTTGTATTTGATCCATGGAGGCTACAGGGCTTCCTGAGTCTGTGGTGAATAGCAAAGTGCTTATGAGGGTGTTGATCCAGATGTGTGTTGGGGAATATTTGTTTAACTATGTAAAGATGTGCTACATTTAATTGTGTAAAGATGTGTTGCTGTTTTTCCTTGCCTGCCTAAGACACCTGATTGGTCTAATAAAAAGCTGAATAGCCAGTAGCATGGGAGGAGGTGTAGGCAGGACTTCCGGGCAGGGAGAGTAAGTAGGAGGAAGAATTTAGGCTCAGAAAAGAAAGAAAAAGAGATGTCAAGGAGACACCAGGAACCAGCCAGCCAGACACAGAGGAAGCAGGAAAGTAGGACATACAGAATGAACGAAAAGTAAAAAGCCCTGAGCATAAATCTAGATGAAGAGAAACAGGTTAAATTAAGTTAAAAGAGCTGGTGGGACAAGTCTAAGCTAAGGTCCAGCATTCATAATTAATAATAAGTCTCTGTGTCTTTATTTGGGAGCTGGTTGATGACCCAAAGAAAATTCCAACTACAGATGTGATGACAAAGAATGTCTCTCGGCTTTCTGTCCCATGGTCTGATCTCTGGGATAATTAAGTTAAAGGAGCAAAGCTTGGTTTGGCTCAGGGTTTCGGAGGTCTCTGTTCACGGATGCGCCTTGTTGGGCTAAACTGCAAGTGTTTAAAATAATTCCACTGTTTTTTGCTCCTGATCCGAGTTGCTGAAAGCAGCCAGTGATAAACCATGCCACAACCCCAGTGTTAGGCTGTGTTGAAATTTTCTCTCTCAGATTACTGAGTCTCTTGCCTTCCAATTTCAGCCTCATTCAAAGTCTCAGGATGTGGGGAAAATGTAGACGTTGCTGGAATGTAACTCAAGTGGTTTGTAGGGTGATTTCTGCCAGAGTTCTCATGAGCACAGCGGTTACTGGCCACATTTCCTTCAGCATCCTCCTCTTGAGTCTCACTAGAAGTAGTGACTTCCAGAACTCTAGGCTTTCTCTAGCTCCTTCTACAAACATTACCAAAGGCTTCTGAGGATTCAGGAAGTGGTTCGAGGGCAAGCTTTAGAGCCTCCAGGTGCCGCTGGCAGATAGACCTGAAATCCACCCAGACTTGGGTTTCAGTTATGTAAAGACGATCCAAATTTTCATTAAAAGTCGCCAGTTAGGAGAGAAGGAGAGACACCTGACTGGCAAGGGTAACAAGTGCCTGAGACCAGCGTGATGGTTCCATGGTTCAAGACCCTTGCTGCCAAGCCCGAGTCCAATCCCTGAGATTCAGATGGTGGAAGGAGAGAACTGACTCCTGGGAGTTGTCCTCTGACTTCCACTTGCAAGCTGCGGTGTTCGCTTGGATGCACGTTAAATTACAAATAAATAAAAAGTGAAAACCAACAAGACTTCCAGTTGTGCAGGCACAATGGTGTGTACCTATAGCCAGCCACTCAGCAGGCTGCAGAGGAAGATCCACTTAGCCCAGGGTTTGAGGGTAGCCTGGGCAACACAAAAACTCCCAACAATGTATCTCTTTTATGACTCTGTCAGTATAAAGCCTAATGAATCATCTAGAGCTACGGTTATCAACTTGTGGGTTGAGAACCCTTTGTGACCACATATCAGACACCCTGCATATCAGATACTTACCTTATGATTCATAACAGTAGTAAAATGACAGTTGTGAAGTAGCAATTAAATAATTTCATGGTTGGGGTCACCACAACATGAGGAACTGTATTAAAGGGTCACAGCATTAGGAAGGATGAGAACACTGCTCTAGAGTAACAGAACTTTGGGGGGTTAAAAAAAAGGATCAGTATGGTGGTTTAGTCTGAGTGTATGTTATCACATGCATGCAGTGCCTGTGGAGGCCAGAAGGGGGCATCAGACCTCCTAGGACCAGAGTTGGAAACAGCTGTGAGCTGTTATGTGGGTGCTGGGAATAGGACCAGAGTCTCCTGGAAGAGTAGTCAGTGCTCTTTTAACTGCTGAGCCATCTCTCCAGACCCCTTCTGCGGAGTTTTTTGAGATAGGATTGCACTGTGTATCCTGGAGCTCACAATCCTCCTGCCTCAGTCTCCTGAGTGCTGGGATTGCAAGTGTGCACCATCATGTCCAGCTGTTCTGGGGCAGAGCCATCTCCCGCCCTGGGAGAGCAGTGGCCTTGGGTCAGCTGGAAATGCTGATCCCGGTGGGAGTTGAGCCAGGGTGGGGCAGGCTCTGGAGCCCAAGTCACTAACGGGAACTTTGTTTTCCAGCTATGGGGTGCTGCTGTGGGAGCTGCTTACAGGCGAGGTCCCTTACCGTGGCATCGATGGACTGGCTGTGGCGTACGGGGTGGCCGTCAACAAGCTCACACTGCCCATCCCATCCACCTGCCCTGAGCCATTTGCAAAGCTCATGAAAGGTATTGTGCAGGCCCAATCTCAAGAGTCCAGGGTCAAGGAAAGTCGTGCCTAGGAACAGTAACATTTTCTATTTTTTTAAAAAGCAGTATGTGTGCTAGTGAGTGGCTCAGCACATAAAGACATTTACCACCAAGGCTGACGACAGTCTGAGTTCAATTCCTGCATGGTAGAAGAGATCAGATTCCCATAGGTGGTCCTCTGATTTCTAACTATATGTAATGGTACACTTGAGCCCACACACATAAATAAATGAATAAATAAACAAATAACCGTATAGAATTTTAAAAGCAAAGGAAATATTAATCTGGATGCAGTAGCTCACATGTCAGTAATCTCAATATTCAAGAATCTGAGGCAGAAGAATTGCTTTGAGTTTCCAGGCCAGCCTGGGCTAATATGAGACCCTGTCTCAAAAAAAAAAAAAAATCCTGTTGCTGGAGGGCTTCTCTCCAGGTTCCCCAAGCCCCGCAGTCCCACAATCCACTTATAAAATAATCACTCAGACACTTATATCACTTATAAACTGTATGGCCGTGGCAGGCTTCTTGCTAACTGTTTTTTTTAATCTTAAATTAACCCATTTTTATAAATCTATACCTTGCCACGTGGCTGGTGGCTTACCAGCTCTTTACATGCTGCTT